CCCCCTTGCCTATGACCACTAGAGCTGTGATTCTGGCACTACAGGTTCACCTCTACCTCCGTACAATGACATGCAGAAGGGTATGGAGCTGCTGACATGGCTAGTGGCTACGCCAGGCCAGCCCTCTCGGTAAAGGAACAATGTCGTAGCACCTACGTGGTCCCTTCACCGAAACCCAGATCTAAGCAAGCAATCAACGTAGGTATCGCAATTGTCAAACAGCATATTTATTCTGCGCTACGTCATTACCTTCGTGTTGGTGGCCTCCCAGTAGTTTTGAAACAGATGAGGAAAAGAGATCCATCATCTACACATTGGAATTTGTAAAATCCAAATATTGACCTCCATCCATTTACCACATCGTTTACGAATTATGCTATCAGCTCCGACTGTAAAGTTCTTGCAGCAACTTACCCATTTTATCAAGTGCATAGAGATACAGAGTGATGAGTTTAAAATGGGTCATAAATGGTATTTCAGTCCACAGTCGTCACTATGAAGTGGGAGGGAACTTTGTGGACTTCCAGACTTAGCAGATGACATAAACAATATGCTCTGAAATCTCAAATCTCATGCAAAATTTAGGGAGAAGCATGCCAAAAGGAGGGTTAAATGAAACAAAGAGGAGGATGAATCGCCTAAGCAACTGAAACTTTCACTTTGAACCGTGCGGAGAAGGCACCTCACTACTCACTCTTAACGCTAATGTTAGTGACGCAGCTGTAGGTGATGTGATCCCACAACTTGCAGCTGCCCGGTGTCAATCACACGCCAACACCTATTATCACTTGAGCTCTCAATCCAACAAGTCAATGAGACGAAGCAGTGCAACCCAAAGCAGAGAATTTGTAATTGTTGATGTCTCCTAGGGGCGAGGAAGATCTCTGTGAGAGCAAACCATCAGACGTTGAACTAATCCTGAAGTCAGGGTTTCGAGATACGCTGCATGATGCACAACTAGTGAAGTGCAATTCACTGAAAGAACACAGATGTGACAATGCACATTGTAATGCTGATGATCTATCTCACGAAGCAGACCTCGTAGAATCTGGCAACATCTCCGTGAATACCCTGTTTTTAGTAGATCAACACGCAAATTACTGACTCCATTACGAGTCAGATGTGTCACAGTTTTCTCATGTCCACTTCCGCTTCTGCATTCCCAATTCTGCCAAATGAGCCGGATGCCATTTCTGCATTTGTACACTCCTCTGTTTCTACCACGAGGTGTCCACTCCACTCGGAATGAAGAAAGGGATGAGGAGAGTCGCAGGCGGAGGGAGTAAGCCAAATGAAGAGAGTGGGTGGGTGGGTGTGTGGTGGATTGTTAGCAAAGCGTAAGGGTAAAACCAAATAACTAGCCATCCATCTTTGCAGTCCTCCCTTGGATACTGGTATGTTCTATTGGGTTCGTGGAAATGCCTCAGTGAAGCACATTAACGGAAGCGAGAGATGGTTGTCGTCCAAGAAGGAAAACGTTAACGGTAGCGTCGCACCACTATTGACAATGCTGGCAGAGTTGTGGAGGGTATGAACTGCTACTTTTGTACTGGTAATTGGTGTTACGCTGCAAGAGCGACAACACATTCTCTCTTTGCGATAAGAAAGTGTCTGGTTCTAAAGCCGCCACTTGTGGAAAAGCAGTGCGTAGATTTCGGCCCATTAGCTCCTACCAACGAGTAATTTTAAGTCGATGTGCTACTTTACTGTAGTCTGAAAGAAGCAAAAGGCATCCGAGAGGTGATTGAACAGATGTTGCAGAAGAACCGACAACAACACAGTCAAACGAAGAGATAACAGAACAAACCTCCACACTCAAAATAACTACAATGCAAGCAATGGGATTTCGCCGGTAAATGTCCTCCTGATTTGAGAGAAGAATGAAATGAGGAAACATCGAGCACCCTAAATGAGCAGACACGTGAGGAAATCCATCTTGCTATGTTACCAGTCAGAGGTCTTCATGTCTTCCTCATAGCTAAGATTTGCAGCGAACTCCATCACCATCGAAGGCCTTTGCTACTCATCAGCGGATTCAGATCGCGTTCTCTCAGAATTGCATAATTTAGGTGCAGAGAGAAGCGACTGCATAATGCCATGAGTGCCTTTATCCAAAAAACGATTTTAGAGACGGTTTGCCAATTGCTAACAGCAGATTACAATCCCACTCCATTGCTACGGTTCTTAGATTTAGGTCACGGGACACTCATTAGGTGAGCACAAACTTTCTGTTGGTCTGAGAAAATGTGGTCACATTCATCCCGATTCAGAGGATAAAGGCGAGCGCAAAAGAAACTACTACCTCCAAAATGAGAACATTTACGTGTTGGCATATCTTTGAGGCAACGCAATATAGAAAATTACTGTTTTCCTGTCACTAGAGACCACATTGTTTCATAAAGAGACGTCACAAAGGAACAACGCTACACCTAACAATATATCTTCAAACACAATTTAAAAAAAACATTTAAAATGCAAAGTTCTGAATTCAGTAGCCACTGCAAAGTCAATGGAAATTAATCTCGCCCTTAACATTTGGTCTAAAGAAGAACTGCATTCTGTATTGTTCCTGGCACTTTACCTTCTGTTAATTTCTGTGCCACCTTCACCCATCCTATTCACCGACGTTCTTCCCGCTCCTGTTCACTGGGAATTTCAGCTATTTCATTGCTCCTGTTGGCTATTTTCATTAATTATCTCCCTCAAGTTTTGCCACGGTAGCTTCCACAGGCGAATGAAGAATAAGTGTGAATGGTCACTTGTACCAACATGCATGTGTGTGCATATCATTTTTGCGCTTGGCACCATCAAACCATTAGATTGGCATTTTCCTTAATACATTGGCTAGAAATCAAAGTTGACTATCCGATTACGACAAAGTGCCCGTCATGCAGTTGCAGTATGAATTGCTTTTTGGAACGGATTGAATCTGTCAAGTCTAGCAAAGTGCAGAGTCAACGACGGTCGAGTCCGCATTGAGGATTTTATACAATCGCGATTTCGAATATATATCTTCTTTGGAAAGAAGATCAGAGACCGGAAAAAAGACAAGAAATTTACTGCGGACCTCGTCAATTGCTCTACTTAGAAGGAGGAATGAAGTGCACAGCTCTGCATCCGCCGCAGGAACGCCAAAGCTACCCTAAAAGAAAATCATTTTTGCCTTGTTTCGCACCAGTTTATGTAGAGGGCTTGCGATCATAGTAAACCCTTTGATGAGAAACGTGGTAACCTGCCAAACCTAGAAAAAGACGTCGATTTCTCTGAATGGGGTGCACTCTTTCCGCACTTGCATGGTGCGAACTTCGCTATCTGCCATCCAGCATGATGGAATAATATGATGCAAGTGTTTGACCAAGCATTAAATAAATGGAAATATTTTGAGTCTTCATTCACCCGATCGCAAAGGCGGGAGAGAAGGAATAAGTTGGCTTATGAATCGTTGAGGCACTTTTAAATGACATCTTTGTGTCAAGAAAATGTAATGACTTAAATCAAGCGATGCGTCAACCTTGAGCTGAAGTGATAGGAGAACATGTCCAGCTTGCATCTCTTCACACTCTAGTCACAACTCTCTCACACGACTAAGTGCCATTATGAAGGTTGAAACCAAGCCACTTCAGGTCACTTATTCAAGTGCTTGCATTGACTACTCAAATGGAAGATATGGTGTAGGTCGGGTCACTGAGTCGAGAACACAAACCCAAAGGGCTGGCATACAACTGGATCGCTAGTAAGTGTTTGCGTAGATTCTCCAATTAATGAATTCATGAAACGTGTAGCATGGATAAGGAAATCTCTTGATTACATCAAGATGCGGTCCCCTCATGGGACGGAACTGCAGCAATAGCCATTCATGGCAACATACCTGTCGGCCAACAAAGGAACTTCGCTGCTGCAATAATACTCCTCTTTTACATA